TACATGCACTGCGCTGCAATTTGATTTATTTTATAAAAATATTTAATGATATCTCATTTTCACAGTCCACATGTTGTGTTTTAACTTGCCTTTAGCTCATGATTTGTAACTTGCCTCAGAGTTGAACTCTGCTAATAGGAAATCCTGAAATGGAATAACTTTACAAATTATAAACAGTCCTGAACATTCCAGGAACACTTCCCAATCTAAGCATGTGCAACAAATCAGCTAGTTTATGATCCTGATAGTTGTTCCATCTGGCTGAAAACTCAAGGTAGCCCTGTTACAAACAAGCAGAGACACAGTCAGAATACCAGAGCAGATATGAGGACAAGCTGCCATTTAATGGAATGCATGGACCAGTTGGAGTTCATCGGCTGTAACAGTACCCTGAAGGTAGGGAAAGACAGGTGAAAAATGATCAAAATTAACTTGAAAAAAAAAATGCAAACAAGTCAAACATACCTTATTATGTTGCATCATTCGCTGTGAGCAAATATTGCCTTATCTTTATATTCACTTAAAGTTCCATTATTAACATTTGGACAGAAACCCTGCAAGCAAATTCTTATCTCTCCACTACAGCATGACTTATGGTTAGCCAATCCATCAAAATCTATCTCTCTGCAAAATAGAAGAGAAAACAACATGGTCATTACAACTTTGTCTCTGCACGTTTATAACTGGAGCTGCGTACATAAGGTGAGTTTCCATTTGATATGCCCCATTAATTTAGAGTGAAAAACATTACATAATTTAAAGTTTTTTATGTAAGTAGCAATTAACAGCATTTGTGGTGTTACATTCAGTTAAATCCATGCAACAATGTTTCTTAATCAGCTTAATATCTAATCTGAATGACCTGTTTTCTGGGAGAAAACAGGAGAGGAAAGCTTTGGTTTTTCTTAATGTACAGAAAAAAAATAATAAATTGATGTAATTGTCTTTTACTGGCAATTTAAGGACATAAAAAAATTGTTATATATGATAAACAATAGTTTTCATCTTAGTTGTTTAACACTGAACATCAAGTCTGGTCTGGCTATCACTATTAAAAATAAAGGTGCTTCACGATGTCATAGAAGAACCTTTTTGTCTAAATGGTTCCGTAAAGAACCTTTAACATCTGAAGAACCTTCCTGTTTCACAAAAGGTTCTTTGTGGCGAAAGAAGGTTCTTCAGATTACAAAAAGGTAAGAAAGAGATGGTTCTTTAAAGTACCTTTGACTGAATGGTTCTTTGTGGAACCAAAAATGGTTCTTCTATGGCATTGCTTGAAGAACCTTTTGAAGCACCTTTATTTTTAAGAGTGTAGCTTGGCGCGCTCACAGGACCCAGCTGTGTCTTAAGTGTGTAAACATGTCCTGAGTAAAACTTTTACTGGAAAACCTGCATCACCTAAAGGCATCCTGTCCTGATGTTTACAATCAGTGTTGGGAGTAACGAGTAACTCAAAAGTAGTGTAATGCATTACAATTCAGAGAGAGTAATATTGTAATGTAACTAATTACTTTCAAAAGACAGTAACTAGTAATATATAATGTATTACATTTTGGAAGTAACTTGCCCAACACTGTTTACAATTAAGCACATGTCTAGTTCTTGTTAAAAGTAAATGAGTTAATCCTTAAGTTTGTACTAGGTCTCAGCAAATTTCAGAATTTGAAGACTTGCTTTCGATTAATTTCACGAGTTGAAATTCAAATTCCAGGTGAACCAGCCTTAGAAACAACTCTGATTCGCACTAGATTTGACCACATTCCCAGTGTAATTGCCCCTGGATTAGTGTATGAATAAAATGAGTTTTTCATAAAATGGCTCATAATAACTAAAGTACAATAATCACTGAACAAACTGTGGTTGTATAGGCTATATGAGGAACCATGCAAAGGAAACACAACTCACACCCTATTCTGTTTAACTTGATGATAAACGTTTTTTTACAGTATAGAGGGTGGAGTAGGTAGATCATTA